CTAAAACAAGTGATTGAACATGCCGAACGGGGTGATGATTGCAGTCTTGCAAATGTCTTCTTCAGCCATCGGAACCTGATAGTACCCCTTCTGCAAATCCAGCTTGGAGAAAACTGTAGAACCGGCGATCCTCGATGAGAAATCTGCTATGTTAGGTAACGGATAACGATCAGGGATTGTAACTGTGTTCAGACGCCTGTAATCTCCACAAGGACGCCAGCCTCCGTCCTTCTTCTTGACCATGTGGAGGGAGGAGGACCAAGGAGAGTTAGACCTACGTATAATACCCGCCTTCTCCATGGCGGAGAACTCGGCTTTGGTGGATGCCAACTTCTCTGGATCCAATCGACGTGCTCCTGCAAACACTGGAGGCCCTGGCTGCGTGAGGAGATGATGTTTGATTCCATGACGAGGTTTAGAGGCTGTAAAACCGTCGGAAGAGGCTACGTCTGGAAATTCGGCGAGCAGGACCTGGATACACTTCGGAGTGGTGAGGAGATTAGCCTTGAGTGGAGCTGACGTGGAGTCCGGAGCAGTTGGAAGGATGATGGACGGAGAGGTTGGTGAATCGGAGCTGAAAACCCTCTGGTTTGAAACATCTAATAACAGGTTGAAATGTTTCAAAAAATCAGCGCCCAGGATGGGAATGGCTACAGGAGCAAGCTGGAAGGGCCATTCAAACCTGTGGATTCCAAATCGTAGAGGTATAATCCGAGATCCAGAGCATGTGAGCGAGGAACCATCTGCTGTAAGCAACCTGACTCCTGACGAGGTAGAAGATGAGCGTGGAGCAGGAAACACTGATACAGAAGCACCAGAATCTATCAGGAATCTTCGTGAACTGAGTGAATCTTGTAAATAAACCAAAGGAGTTGAAGTAGCAGGCCCGGCAGGAAGGGTACGAAGATCCTCCTGCCGGTGAACTAGTTTTCCGACCAGGAACACGGAGCTCTGCATTTCTTCGCCTTTGAACCCCATGCTCGATGGTAGTAGCACATGGTGGGAGACTGGGAGCGGCTATCCTGGCGACTGGAGGCGTGCGGAGTAGCAGAGCGTAGGGAACGGTTAGGAACTGAAGATCTAACGGCGTTGACGGAGTGCTGGTCTTCCGGAGTGCTGGAAACGGAGTAAACTTGAGAGGATGAGACTCTGCTTTGGTAAACTTCATCTGCTTTAAGGGCAAAAGAGATGGGATCGGAGAAATCGTCTCTGATCAAATGGGCGCGAATATCGGCGGGCAATCTCTTGAGGAAGACTCCTTTAAGAAAAAAACAAGGTTCGTGACCAGCCGGGAGCAGGGCAAGCATGTTTGACATTAGTCTAGTGGGCTTCATATCCCCGGATAACGGAAGGTTACAAATCGCTTCGTACCTCTGGAAGTCGTCGAGGGCGAATAACTTCAGTAAGCGATTCTTCAGAGCTTCGTAGGGACCAGCGGCGGGAGGAGACTTGATAAGATCGAGAACCTGGTTAGCGGTGTCCTGGTTGAAGGAGGAGACACAGTAGTAAAACTTCGTAGAGCTGGCCGTCACTCCCTTGAGTGCAAACTGGGCCTCGACTTGAATAAACCAGGCCTCCGCAGACTCTGGCCAAAAAGCTGGAACTTTCACTGACACTGTGTTTAATAAATCCAACGAGCTGGGTTCAGCTAGGGCTTGGATGTTATCACTGTCCTTAGGCATTTTCACTCGTCGAGCGTGTAGCTATAAAAGTCTATAAGTATATAGTTTCGAACTAGGGGTCACCAATTTAGCTACGCTCGGATAAATAAAGCCCGGTTTAAATAATTACATTTATTAACTGGTAAAAGTACAAATTTTAGTTTGAGTTATTAAAATTATATCAAGGTGACGTGGCAGTATTTGAGTACGTCCTGCCGCCTTCGAATATCCGGTTTCCTTGTTGTATCGTCTTCCGCCACAAGGATTGATTTTATAACAGTTAGACGTTTTTCAGATGTATTATTCTTGCTGAGAAAGAACGCAAACTCAAATATCTAGAAACGAAATGTCCTTTTACAATTATATAATAACCTGGATGAAAAACGATACAAAATATCTACAATAAACTAATGGCATGTCTAGGATGATATTTCTTAAAAGAAGTTATCGATGAAATCAATGGTAAAATCAACTATTTCTTTAATATCATTATCTTGCACTGCTATTATTGAGAATAGGGATAAGATGTTCTCACTTTTTTTTAAACGATTGTTTCGATTTAAAAACGACAAAGAAAAAACGAAAAAGGAAACAGTCGTTTTTAAGTTTCGTTAACGAAAGTAGGTAGTCTTTTTTTATGAAAATTGTTAGCGTTTTTAGGACAAAATACATTTTTTTGGTCGGAAAATCCTTAGATCAGAAATCCCTTAGATCTTAAGTCAGAAAACATTCAGGTTATTTCTCTCGATAAAAAGACAAACATTTAAGACAATATTCATAAAACTTATCTTCCTGAACAAATTTTAATTAATTGTCATAAAAATCAGATTCATTAGCGAAAAAAGATTCAAAAACGACAGTTTTAAGAAAAAAAGGATCGTTTGTTTTTTGTTTTTTAAGAGCTCAACGATTAACAATCCTAATTGAGAAGAGGTGATTTTATTCGTATTTCTGTTTCTGTAATATTTTATTCTTATCAAAACGTTTTCCACAGATTTCCAAGAGGTCAAATGAAATGAGGAAATCTACAAATAAAGAATCAATGATAATGATGATCATTCATGAATTATTTTATAAACGTTTTTTGGAAACTTGCCCTATAACCTAACCTTTTACTAAATGAATGATTTAGCTGAAAAAAAAGATTTTATTGAACAAACAGTTTAAGAAAACAAACGATTTTATTGAGCAAATGTACAGTTAAAACACAAACAAAATAGATAAAAAATAAACAAAAATTCAGGAAAGGAAGGAATACATGTTTTTCTGACTGACTGAAAATATAATAATACATTGGGTCGTTTACTAACGATGTACAATCGAAGTGAAAAAAGCAAAATGCGATGCATCTCTATTAAGGCAACCAGAAAATCTAACAAAAAGTCTCTTCAAATTTGTGCTTTCTAGAGTATTTATACAATTAATCAAAATTAAATCTTGTTTAAAAAACTAAGAATGTTTCCTGTGAATGAATCGGTTCTACAATCTCCTATAGAAGGGCCAACACTGGCTATGGCAGTAGCATCAGCAGATTGAGGGCCGGCTATGGAAAATGTCTAAAGTGATATAAAATACAATTCTATTGATTCAAGAACCAAAAAAGGATATAAAAGGAATTGAAATTTTATTATTTGAAAAAAAAGTTTGATTTGCCTATTATTTAAAAGGAAAGGAAAGACTGTTTTTAGTACATGTATCAATTTTCATTGATTTTTAAAGACTTATTTGCAGAACCATGGTCCATGGGAAATATTCTGTTAGATACCTACTACTTTACTTGCTAAAAGAGTTTTTTACTTAGATTAGAACTAATAAGAATTTAGAGCTTACTTCAAAATCCAGCCTTAATTTACAGATGTTGGTGTTACAGGGGCAGATTGTATAGGTACAGGGGGAAGCAGTGGTTGCTGCAGTAAAGCTTGAAATGATATGATAGGTATTGTTCTGAGATATCGTGGTTCCACATGCCATAGAAACTAACAAATAAATTTAAATAAATAAATCTTAGGATTCGACAGTCACTTTTATAAAGATTAGAGATCCATTAAACTTTTAGAATAAAAAGAAATAGCTTAATAATTTGGCTCAAACAAAGAATTAAACATTTTAAAAATCAAGGATCACTTAGAATTAAAAATTATCTCTTGTGTTTAAGATTTTAGATAAACTGAGCTGAAAACTTTAGAATGGTGAATACCGAGATCAAAGCTTGATCTCCTATTTTTCTTAATCTTCAGATTAAATATTGCTTGTTCTCCTCATGTTATTAATCTCCGGATTAATTAACAAATCAGGATTAAGGATATCACATTCTAAAGTTTTCAACTCTGATTGTACATTTATTTCGTCGAGCTTTAAAAAGCTTGAGAAAATGTTCCTGAAAAATCTTACAAGTTCTTCTGCTTTCTGTGTGCATGATTCAATATAGGGGACATTAGTTCCGAAACTAGCACTTGGCCCATTTCTAACACTTATCGTGTTTAAAGTGGGCACAAATTGAAAGACTGGGTTTTTAGGATCCCGGCCCATATCCAGAGTAAAAATAGATAGTAAAAACTATGACGCAGATAATAATTTCCAATTTTAAACTATTTGCTGAAATTATAAAAGGAGTTCTTTTTATGATAAAACCCTTGACCAGGTTTGTCATTTTCGAAAATATCCTGAATTTGAACCTTTGGTGCGTTTTGAGACAAAATCCCCTTTCCCGTTTTTGAGTATAATCCGCAATTCAAAACAAAACTCGCTTTCATAACTTACAAAATAAATGACTAAAAACAAACATTATCTTAAAAAGACTAAATTGACTGCTTTGTTTTTATTTTCTATTCTTTTTCACCTTATCAAAAAATCTTGTTTTGTTACGGAAGTGCCTACATACTTGAAAATTGACATTAATATAAGAATCCGGGTAATTGTCTCAAAACCAGGATATATTTTAAAAACGCGCCATGAGTACGGTAATTTTTTCAAGGGATATGTTCAGAAATGAAATCAAGTATCATCAAAAGCTAATTTTCACACCTTATTATTAGTTTAAAGTTGACATTTATTGTTTAAATATACAGTACTAGGCTTTTAGGGCGCTTCGCGCCCATCTTCTATTTCAACTTTTAATTGTGGCTTTATCTCTGAACATCTTCTCTTTGTACAGTATAAAACAAAAACAAAAAAAGTTTGCGGATTTCATAATATTTTTTTGCGCATTTTCAAAATTTTTCAAAAATAAAAAAATTTTAAACACAAATTTCAAAATTTTGATCATTCATAAACCTTCCCTGTGGTCACGTGAGGTCCCACAAAAAATGTGGGCCCGGTCAGTTCAGCCGTTTTGACGTTTATTGGACACAAACAAACAGACAAACACCCAAACAGACAGACAAGCCAAATTTATATAACTAGAAATTCAAGGCGCTTTGCGCCCTTCTTTCTAGGCTTTTAGGGCGCTTCGCGCCCATCTTCTATTTAAATTGTGATAATGTTCTTTCTGAAAAAAATTTAGCGGATTTAAAAAAAAATATTCGCGGATTTTCAAGAATTTAAATTTTTTTTTATAAAATTAAAAACCTTTAAATCACTTTTTTTAATTTTGATCATTCATAAACCTTTCCTGTGGTCACGTGATGTCCCACAAAAAATTTGGGCCCGATCGGTTCAGCCGTTTTGACGTTTATTGGATACAAACAAACAGACAGACAAGTTAAATTTATACATAGAAGATTACTTATTTTTAATAAATGTATGGTGTAGTTTTGTTCAATTCGGCTTGGATTTAAATATACATACGCTTGAAAAAGATTTGGCCCATTTCCAGACTTTTTCCATTCCAAACACTCATTGTCAGTAAATGTGCCGAGTATTAGTTTTGGAACTAATGTCCCCTGCAATAGATGAAACTAACTAATCTCAATTTAATGCATCTTTAAACTATCTTATAGTGACGTCATCATATTTACAAGTAAACCTTCATTTAAAGATGATAATGTCCGATGCACAACGGTAACCTTAAAATCTTTGTCTAATTAATATTGTCGTTTTCTGAGTTTAAAGTATTTAATTCTGATATTTACTATATATATTTTCCTGTAATACAGCAATACGTAAGTCACTTTTGAGGAGAAACCATAACTTAAAACATTGTGTGTTTAGAATTACAGACATTTATACATAATTTAGACAAAGCTTTTAAAGGTAACGTTGCGAATCGGGTATTGCAATCTTTGCATGGAGGGTCAATTAAAATTACGCTTATAGTCCCTTTAATATTCAGTAAAAAATTACATTTTATAAAAATTACTTACAAAATATTTGTAAAAAAGTAACTTTGAATTCAACATCAAAATATAAAAAAGATCAAATTAGTTGATGAGAAAAATGCTGGCAACAAATCCTAATTTTAAAATCCCAATATCTTTGCAACCCGATATTGCAAAGATATAGGATCAGAAAATTTGAGTTTGAAGCAAAAACTCAATTCATTTATGTATGATTTTCTTTTGAAGTTTTGCTTTGCTATTTAAGGCTAGCAATTTTCGATGTCTATTTGTTTTATTTATAAATACTTACAAACACAGCATACACCAAATCCAGAAGCACACGTCAGGGATGAGCTGCCGCCTAAATTTGTTAAAAATAAATAAATTTAATCAAATGAATTGAGCCTTTGAACTTAAATTTTCAAATAATTTTGCAAATTTGAGATTTTAATATTCTCGGTTACATATATCTAGTCTACATATTAATATTCTCGGTAACATGTATCTAGTCTACTTATTAATAGAATACTAATTTTTTAGGATTCCATGATAAGTCAGTGAAGATTTTTCAATATAATCTGAATCCAGAAAACGTGAAAGATTTCAGTGTGAAAAGGTCTGCTTCATAAAATTCGTTCTATGTTGAAAATTTTTTTAATGTTAAAAAAATACCTTTTGCTGAACATTCCGAGGCAGTGTAACAGGTTCCATTAAAGCCTCCAGATCCGACACAGGGAGCGTTGGGGAACCTTATCACTGAGAAGATTAACTTTCCATTTCGATCTAAAAAAGAAAATGACTGGGATTAAAGAAAATTAGTTTATTTTTTGTAATATCTTAATCTTTAAAATCTTTTTCAAATCTTGATTTGAAATTTCGCGGAATTTTACAGTTCGAGAATTGACTCTTTGCCACGAACTTAAATTTTCTAATCCCTATATCTTTGCAACCGGACGGTGTAAACCTTTAATATTTTAAGCTTAAAGTAGTCGGTTCAACGAATTCATAGTTTGAAATATCTCAGGTCTACGAAATTGGGCTGTAAAGAAAATCGGAGTTTGTTGAGCTAAGACTCAATTCCTTTGTAGATTTCATTTTTTTATCAGAATTTGTTTTAAAGTTTTAAATACTCAAAAACCCGTCAGTTCAAACCAAACACCGTAGAAAGTCAAATAGAAGAGCAGTTTAATATTCTTAAGATTTGGTCACATATTCAACATGCACCACACAATTTATTGGAATTTTTCCAATTATGAACACAGCCTAAACTTTACAACAATTTGATCCAATATTTTCTGTTAAGATGTTTTCATCAAAAACCTGATATTTTTCTATTTTTCTATTTTTTTATTAGGTTAAATATTTATATAAGAAATACATTCCATAATATATATATAATATATATATATATGGGATTACTAATTATAATGCCTTGTAAAATGAAGGTATGTTGAACAGTAAGGAAATCTTAAATAAAATCCACAAAATTTAAAAGAAAAACAGGGGAATTTTTTCTAAAACTGTACACAATCCAATAATATAATGTACGGTATTTTTTACTCTTTTTTAAAGTTTTTATTGCAAAAACTTTAAAATTAAATTAATTTTGATAATTTTGCTTTTTATACCTGTTGCCTGAGTAGTTTGATTGACTTCAGAGGCATGAAATCCTAAAAAACGTAATTTTTAAAATTTATTATTGGAGTTTATTAGTTTTTAAAATTAACTATCGGGCCGCCATCAAATACTTTTTTACTTAACTTTTTGTTTAGTTAAAAGTTAGGCATCATACGAGTTACATCTTGATTATATGCACAATTGTAAAATGAATTATTATACAAACTCCGAATGTTCTTTTCAATAGCACTTTAATTAAATGACTTATGGTTGAAAACAGAAAAGATTACAATTCTTCGTGCAATTTACTTCGCGGATTTCATAATATTTTTTCGCGCATTTTCAAAATTTTACAAAAGTAAAAAAAAACTTTTAAACACAAATTTTTAAAATTTTATTCATTCATAAACCTTCCCTGGGGTCAAGTGAGGTCCCACACAAAGTTGGGCCCGATCGGTTCAGCCGTTTTGACGTTTATTGAATACAAACAAGCAGACAAACAGACACCCAGCTAAGCAAAATTTATAAATAGATTTTGACGTGTCCCTAGTCTCCATACAATTTAAATTTAAAAGTTTTACCTTTCAGTAAGAAAAGACAAATCGTAAGAAAGATCATATTCAATTTCTCCTGAAATATATCCTTTCATTAAACTAAACTAAACTAAACTAAACTAAACCAAAAAAACTAAACTAAACTAAACTAAACTAAACTAAACTCAACTAAACTAAACTAAACTAAACTAAACCAAAAAAAACCTAAACTAAACTAAACTAAACTAAACTAAACTAAGCTAAACTAAACTAAACTAAACTAAACTAAACTAAACTAAACTAAACTAAACTAAACTAAACTAAACTAAACTAAACTAAACTAAACTAAACTAAACTAAACTAAACTAAAATAAACTAAACTAAACTGAACTAAACTGAACTAAACTAAACTAAACTAAAGTAAACGAAACTAAATAAACTAAACTAAACTAAGTAAAACCACCTGATTTAAGCTGCAGAATAGAACTGAAGAACAATTTGCAAAGATTTCGCACATAAATGAATATGGTTCCAATCCAATTATTTTTCGTTTTGATTGATTATAATTTCACAAATTATTCGTATTAAACAAAATATTTCTAGAATCACAAGCTTGAAACCAAAATGATTAATGTAATAAATAATTTTTATAAAGGGGTGAATGGCCGAGTTCCGCTCAAATGCCAAGCAAAATATCCAACAAGAGGTTTCAAACATCTTCAGAAACGTTAAAAAGACAGGTTAATGTGTCATTATTATTGTTATAATTTTTATCTTTATTATTTTCATTATTTTTACTATCACTAATATTATTTTATATACCATTAATATAATATATAAACCTCCAATATAGTAAATAAACCTCCAATATAATAAATAAACCTCCAATATAATAAATAAACCTCTAATATAGTAAATAAACCTCCAGTATGAATAAATGAAGTCCTCTGAATTTCTCTGAAATAAAAACAAAACCAAAATCAAAAGCAGAACCAAAAACTCATTAAATAGAAATCTATCCAATTATGCGAATATCATTGAATCATGAAATTTGCGCATTTATTTGGCAAGCCTAATGCTAATAACAGTAAAATTTTTATTGCCTTTAACCTAAATATGTACATAATTTGCAAATTTCGTTTCGCGAATCAACCTCGCAAATGGTATTGCAATTTTCACCACTCCTCTCTTATCTATGTAAGAAGCAACAGGTAAATCAGTGGCCGGCAAACTTTACAAGTTTTCGAAATTACGCATTTTTTTCTAACTGGAAAGAATTGTGCATTTAATTTGTGCGGAGAGTAATGGGGTTTTTTAACAAAGAGCAAAACAGAAAACTGAAAATTTTATTAAAGGGTTTAAATTGTTTCTTGTAAGTAAATATTAAAGAAATATTCAAACATGTCAACCGAGCATATTGTAAAATTTAAGAACTTAAAATATGAAGCTTTAACTGTGTTAAAATATAAAAAGCGGATTCAATAAAAAATCTTTAAGAGAGTGAAAAATGAAAAAGGGGGTATTGGCTGATTCAGATTTAAATTTCCTAACCTATCGCATCCAATTTTACTTCTGTCAAAATTGTCAAAAACTTTGGTCGCTGGCAGCGAAGCAGTAATGCACATAATACATACATTCCAGTAGTTGATTTCAGTCAAAATTCAATCATTCAAAAGATTTTTAAGAAGCATTGTGGTTTTGGATTGAAAGATTTTGTAAAGAATTCGAAAAATTCTTCTGAACGAAAATCTAAAATTCTAATTATAAAAATGTAAATTAGATTTTAATTTTTTATTGTAAAAATCAAAGAAAAAGTTTCAAATTAATGATGTACGCTTATACAATATTTGGTTCGTAAATACATATTTCATAATTTTCAAATTTCAAATGCATTGAATAGAAGTTAAACTGGCAATGTTAAATTTCAAATTCAATCCTAATTCTGGAAATACCCCTATTAATTTTTCACAAGCACTCCCTTTAAAAGTTAATTTTAGCTATGGAAACTATGCTCAAGTATCTGGTTCTGGCAAAGATGGTTTACATCGTGGCAACCTTTGTTCAGCCTGGCAATACATCAGGAATATTGCCAATTCCTTATTTTTCAGCGCTCTATAGATGATTACAAAAAGCTATTTAAGCAAATTAAAAAATTTGCAAAATTTGAATATGTAACTCCAAATCATTCCTTTATTGGCATTGTGAAACCAGAAGATATGGAACCTGAGACTAAAAGAAACGAAAAAAGTAAGAAAATTTGTTAAAAAATTGGTTAGTCGGCGTAGAATTACAAGACAGAGAGAGCTTGCCCTACGCCGACTGCGTGAAACTCCTCAGGGTTCTTGTGGACGAGTTTCATCCAAATCTTGAAAAGATGACATCTAGTGTCCTATCTGTTAATTTAATTAATCTATGATCTTAAACCTTCTTTGGAAACATATTGTAGTTTCCACGCGCAAACAAATTTAATTTAATCTTATCAAAATTTTACCAATTTTTTATGAAAAATTCCTAATGTTATTAAAAATATGTTTGAACGTGCCTAAAAAAATTTTCTCTGAAAAATTCACAAGCCGTAAAAAGAACAAATATGATGTCCAAGGTGTTTGCTATTCTTAAATGAGATCCATCTAAGCTAAATTTAAAAAAACAAGTTTACATTTGAAGGAAGTCATGAATTAGAGAAAAAAGACAGTACAAATTTAAGACAGTTGCCTTAGAAGTCTCATGATTTGTGGGTACCCCTGTATATTTAGCCTGTATAAAATTGATGACTTAATCAACGAATTTGTTTATCTAACTTAAAATTATAATTTTCATTTCTGTCATATTTGTTTTCAGTTCTGTCTCTGTTCAGTATTGTCAACTTCCCGAACCTAGAGTGTAATAGTTTAAGCGCCAGCTTTGCTATAGGTACATTTTGAATTTTTATTCGGAATTCTAATTTTTCCAGAATATTATTTTTTAATTTATTTTAGCAGAAACTTCTTCAAAACTACTGTTTGTTAACCAAAATTTGGCTCCCAGTCCCCCTAACTGCAATTAGAATCATTACTGATAAGATAAAACATTTCAAGATTATATTACGGTGTAAAGGGTTCAAGATCGGTATGCAATCACCACTTCAAATCAAGGCTTACATGAAAATTTCTCTCTTAGATAAATCTTTCTTTTTATTTTCAGTAAATGATAATAATACTAATTAAAGATTTGGAAAATAATTTTCAAGAAATAGTTTTTTTTGGAAAAAAAACTTACAAAAGAGAAAATCGTTTTGGTGGTCATCTGGTTAGAATTTTTTTCTTAATAAAATACCATATTGGGAAAATAAAAAAATAGAAAATATATTTTAATGTTTATGAAGGAACATGTTATGCTACAAGTGAGTGCGAAAGCAAAGGAGGAACTACCAGTGGATCCTGTGCAGCTGGTATAGTATTCTTTTCAAAAAACTAATTTTAATCTTTTCATTTTTTTTGATTTGCTTTGATTTGAATAATAACTTATTGTATTGTTGTTTCTATGGGAGAATTACAGGAGTGTTTTATTTCCAAGTTCATATAGTACTTTTTTAATTTTCTCTGATCCGAACAATTTTTTCCGTAAGTTAAAATTGTTGAATACTGTTTAGGATTTGGTGTATGCTGCTTGTTTTCAAAATCTGCCTGCAGCAGTACTGTTACTAACAATGTTTCCTATATTACTAACCCAGGATTTCCTTCCACCTATAATACAGCAGGTAATATATTACAGGAACCTGCACATATATAATATGTTTCAGGAACCTTCACATATACAATGTATTACAGGAACCTGCACATATACAATGTATTACAGGAACCTGCACATATACAATATATTTCAGGAACCTGCACATATACAATATATTTCAGGAACCTGCACATATAAAATATATTTCAGGAACCTGCACATATACAATAAACAAAGTTTCCTCTGACATCTGTCAACTTCGCCTTGACTTCATAACACTTGTTCAAGCAGTTTCAACTATGCCCCAGGTTAGAAAAAGGGAAAGTATGACAAAAAAGTAAGTTTTAGGAAACAAAAATGAATAATTAAACTAATTGTTTCTTTTAGGGTTGAACGAGGGGGGGGGGCTGCTCTTAGGGTTTTTGAATTGCTCCCAGGTTTTTCTTTGTTTTCATCAGATATCTCAATAATTGATGATTTTTGAATTAGTGCGGGCCAATTTTGATTTTGTGACTGTAGCAACGTCTTTTTAACTGGTAACAAACAATTTAAGATTTTTTAAAGTGAAAAATTGGATTTTTTCTGAAGAAAAATTTTGGAAATAAGATTACTTTTAGAAATGTTGAACTCAAATAAAACTTTTATGTATTTAACTTAAAAATTATTTTCTTAACATTAACCAATAATCTTTAATGTATAAGGTAAAACATATGTCTTTGGTTTGGCTAATCAAAACTGTATGATCGCCACAGGCTACTTGGACTGAAATCTGCGATTTTTTCAATGCAAATATCTGAACATTAAAAAAGGGGTAGCAAATAGCAGAGCTATTTTTTCAATTTTCTGCTTTAATAATAATAACTTAGCGCCCATAAAAATTCAGAAAATTGGAACATACAACTTAGACCGTAAAAAATCAATTTAATTTCAAACAAATCATTCAGATATTACATCCTTTAGTTATCGATTATCTTCGCCACATTTGTATATAGTTTATATTTTATAATATTTTTAAATTAATTTGTTTTGAATTTGATTATTTCTCTTGTCGCTTGCGCAACTATCTAAGAATGCCGCGCACCACTCACATTTTTCGAAATCCGATAGAACGCTTTCTAAAAAATTAAATATTATAAAATATAAAATATATACAAATGTGGCGAAAGATAATCGATGACTATAGGTTATAATATCTGAATGATTTGTTTGAAATTAAATTGATTTTTTTACGGTCTAAGTTGTATGTTGCAATTTTCTCAATTTGTATGGGCGCTAAGTTATTCGGTATGAGACGTCTTTAACAATTTTCTCCTTATAGACGCAAAAGATAGAAGTAAAATTAGTAGCGATCAAAAGCGCTTTTTTATCGCATTAAGCCTATAACCCCTTTCATTTTTCGCAAACACTCCCTTTAAAGTATTTAAAGTGTTAAAGTATTTTTCACAAAAGGACAGATAAATTTCCAAATTTTACTCCAAAATCTTGGGAGCACTCCAAAACCCTTGGAGCAATTCCAAAACCCAGAGAACAACTTGTTCAGCACGTTGTAAAATTGCCATAGAGAATAGAACATATATTAGAGGGGAATTTTTCGACGCATTCGTAAATAGTTGATATTTCATAATATTTTGTATTTTTCATGATCTGAGAGTTACTTTTGAAAACATTTATTCCTGTTTTGAGGATTTTTGATAATGAAGACGACATTTTCATATTTCCCAGGATTGTTCGAAAAAATATTATGAAATATTTACTATATACGAATGCGTAAAAAAATAGTCGATGACTACTGTTTGTAATATCTGAATGATTTGTTTGGAATTAAATTGATCTTTTTACGATCCGAGTTAAATGTTGCATCTTTCTGAATTTGTATGGACACTACGTTCTTCCATATTAGTCGTTTTTAATAATTTTCTCCTTACAGACGCAACAGTTAGAAGTAAGATTAGTAGCGATCAAAAGCGCTTATTTATCGCATTAAGCCTATACCCCCTTTTATTTTTCGCGAACACTACCTTTAAGGAACGTCATGATATGAAATAAAAGCATGGACGCTGCGTTCTTTGATGTGAGTCGTTTTTAACAATTTTCTCCTTATAGACGCAACAGATAGAAGTAAGATTAGTAGTGATCAAAAGCGCTTTTTTATCGCATTAAGCCTATACCCCCTTTCATTTTTCGCGAACAATCCCTTTAAGGGTTGCCGACGGCCGCCCCCCCCCCTCTAGAAGTTAAGGTAGGGGCTCTAATCCGCCCCTGGTTGTATTATCTAGGTATGATTAAATAATCTGTAAATGTAAATAATCTCTATACATAAGTATACTGCATCATGTACCATGACATATGTTTTACAAATACAGTGTTTTTTAGAAGTATTAAGATATCTCAACAAATGGAGGTTTATCTAAAATTGTGTCTAAACAGTTCATTTAATTCTCTTTTCCTTTCTAACCAAATAATTGTAGGGATGTTGCGGATCAACATTATGTACAGCAGGATTTCTAGCTGACTCCTTGACAGTACTAGGGAAAACTGGAAAGAATCCCCCAGTTATCTGTGGAACTAATACAGGACAGCATAGTAAGTTTACATTACACTTTCAACCATAATTTTCTAAAACAACTTAAAATGGAATTATTTGTACTTATAAAAATAAACAAGCTTAAAAGTAAATTTTTAATTAAAATAATAATAAATTTGGTATAATTTTGTAAGTATCAAACAGAATATTCTCCAGTTTAGCCAATCTGCCCTTTTCAAGCCTAGTGAACATGCTATCATTTTACTTAGTGTATGTGGAGACAGGAGCTACTGATGGTGATACAGTCAGCTTGGCTTTTTCTGTTATCGGAACTACGAATAACCAATGGAATGTCAGAGTGTCACAGATACCTTGCTCAGCTAGTTACAGGTTTCATCTATATAAATATAATATACTAGCTGAAGTGCCCGGCATTGTCCGTGGAATTTTAAGAAATCTGGGTTCCCTCAACAATTTTCAGCTCATTTGGTCCAGCCATTTGGCCGGCGGTTATACAGGGAACATATCTAACAATGTCTTGTTTTATTATATAGAAGAAGATATACTTAGCTTGTCTGTCTCTTTCTTTGTTTGTGTCTAGAACATTCGTTTTCGTTTGTTTTCTCAAAGAACAACCGTTTAGTAAAAATGTTTGTTCAGTAAAATCTCTTTGTTCATTAAATAAGTCTATTCTTTTAAATTTTCGAAAAAATTGTTTGTTTGGTAATAAACTGTAGTTTTTTTTTTAAATTGTTCGTTCAGTAAAAAAACTATAGTTTTAAAGTTTATTCGAATGATTTTAAATTGTTAGTTTTTTGTTTTGATTTTAATAAACGATTATTTTTTCATTTTTCTAAACAATCCATTTCATTCGAACATTGTTGCTTTTTTCTGAACAAATTCCAAATATTTTGTTTGTTCAAAAAAGCTATGCCCATCTCTGTGCCTTGGGCGTTTTTAAGCACTAGCACCTCCAACAATATATGAAATGTCTTATGTGTTTTAAAGCTCTTGATAGATTGGAAATAAGATCTTAAATTTAATTTTGATATTTTAATGTATCAATAATTTTATTTTTATTATTTAGAGCTCCGTCCCAGTGTGTGAAATACTTTACAGGCACTAAAGGTATTAAACCCCACTGTGAAGATAGAATTTTAGAGATAAGTCTGCATTGTTTTAAGTTTACTTTAACTGAATCACGCTGGAAAGTACAAGAATTAAAGCTTAATGGATATTATTATTATTATCATTTTATTTTTGGTATAAATCAAAGTGGCAGAACTATGCTGTAGAAGATTTAAATTTGACCAATGCGGCAATATTCAGATATAGTTTAAATCTATTCTCTAGATGATGCATTGCAATTTCCTATGTTAAGTAGAATTGATGGCTATAGTATCTCCAGAAGGATCAAGAATAGTAATAATTTTATGAAACTAAATTGGATCAGCACTACTTACTGTGTGTAGTGAGGGCGGAAATGCGTTTTCTTTCATGAGACTGGCACTTCTCAAATTCTTTTAAAAATCAGATTGATTTGTTTTTGATAGTAGAGCTTGATAATTGTTAAGCCTTACATCCCAAACTTTATAGTGAAACTAAATTGTTATTTTTAACTTAAGTTGTCTTATGAACACTTTTTTAAAACACTGGTTTACAGGAACAGTGACAAGCTACGGATTTGCAGGGAATACCCAACTAACTAGCCAAAACTATGAGTCCTGTGTTAGACAAGAAAAAGGTAATTTATGCAGTAATGTACTCTCAACTTTTTAAAGGATATTTTCTAAATAAGTTAAAAGAGTCCAATTAAATTAATTGATTAGCAAAATTTGAAATATTGGATACCATGGAACCAGCCTAGAATAGAAAACCAGACTGGGGTTTGGTTTCCACATGAATTGTGGGGCCTGAGCACACTTTGTTTACAGAGCATGATAAGCCTATGCGAAGTTGCTTGACTGGGTTTCCGCATGGAAGGTTGCTGGGTAGATGGGCACAACCCCAAGAACACAGGGAATACAGTAAGGACAATCAGTTGAGCACCAGCTCTCGAAAGGAGAGGATGAAGAAATTCGCCAACTCCCCACATGTGGTAAGATAGACAATCTAAGAAGCAGTCAGTCTAAAGGAATGGAAACTGCTTGGTTGGATCGAAACCATGGGAAAAACAAGACGGTTCTGAATGGAGAAGAGCACAGGAAATCCATCACTGAGTATAGGAAACCTAACCCTGTGACTCTGGATGGAGGAGAGCATAGGAAACCCTTTACTGAGTACAGGAAGCCCAGTGGTAGGACGGATAATCTAAACTGCAGTCTAAACTGCTAAGTAGGATCGGAGTATAGGAAACCCATCACTGAGTACAGGAAGCCCAGTGGTAGGAAGGATAATCTAAACTGCAGTCTAAACTTTTAAGTAGGATCGGAGCACAGGAAACCCATCACTGAGTACAGGAAGCCCAGTGGTAGGACAGATAATCTAAACTGCAGTCTAAACTGCTAAGTAAGATCAGAGCATAGGAAACCCATCACTGAGTACAGGAAGCCCAGTGGTAGGACGGATAATCTAAACTGCAATCTAAACTGCTAAGTAGGATCGGAGCATAGGAAACCCATCACTGAGTACAGGAAATCCAAACCTGTGACTCTGGATGAACTGTAGTAGCAGTATATCTACATCGCTGTAGTTCTTTAATTCTTTTAATTTTGTTTCCCTGTTAATATAAATGTTCAACTACTTTGTTCTTTTATTGGTGTGAGACTTGAAGACTACGAGAATATTTATGTCACCCTTTTGGTGGTTCCTTTCATATTTAACTATTTAACAATTGTTGAATAAAAATTAAAAGAATTCTAAAAGATATGATTTGAACCGTTTTGTAAATATGTTAAAATATAGAATTCTAATGTTTTGCTATTGATTAATTTTTGTCTATGCAAAAACAGAATGTTTTGGCAGATTTTCCAAATTTTTCTAAAATTTAAAGTGTTAGTTGTTATCCTAACCTTTGTGCAGGTTACTGTGGAATAGAATGGGATGAAAGCACTGTAACATCTCCATCAGGCAACACTTTTATTTATGTTTTACAAGAAGTATTGAGGAAAAGTTCAATGGTTAATAATGATAGTATGTATTAGGGGTGCTTGATTTTTGGACTTTTTGTTGTAAATCAGCTAACTGCCAACCAGAGGTCAATTGTAAATTCTAGATTCTAAGTTGAAAAGTTCTTGCATAATACATTACTTATATTTGATTTAAATACAATAACAAAATCCGATTTTGCATGTACTTTGAGGAGTGTATATTTTCTCCAAAAGTTATGCCCTCCCCCTCTGAGAAAATCATTTTTCCCCCCAGAGTTATATATGTTTGCTTGCAAGGGAAATTTGTTTTAGGGGTTTTATTTGCTAAATTAGGGAAAATGAATGATGAATTTGGGAAAATAAATAAATTTTAGGATAAAAAGTATCAAAAACAATGATTAAACTTGCCTTATCGTGTGCAATTTTCCATTTTTTACCCAGATCGAGGGGGGGGCGGGGATAATTCTTAAAAATATACACCCCTGTATATTTTTTTGCATTTTGAAAGACTTCTTTTTATTGAATTATTGAATTACAGTACAGTACAGTCATACAATATATCTAGAGATACAAAAATAACTGGTCTAATCTAAAGAAGACGTTATTTTGTCATTATATTGTTAAACAATTAACTGCATTATCATGTTTAGTAGGACATTTTAAATGAAATCAGTTTCTATAATTTATTTCATTTCAGATGCCTTTGATCTGACTGATGCCTCAGCAACAATAGCGGCAAACACTGCAGGTAATACATATTTATATTTGTCAAAATTTGATCAACTTTAGCTAATATCAGACTTGTTGAATTATTTTATGATTTCAGCTTGTATTGATTCCTACATCTTAATTCCTGATGGTGTGGTTGATACAGCCATCGGACCCCAGAGGGTAAGTAGAAAATCTAAAATTTGGTCTTGATGATTATCCAAACCTTATATAGAGTAAATTAAGTAAGTAGCAAATTCTTTGAAAATAATTTTCAGAATATATTTTGGTTCCAATAATGCAGTTCCTGTACTAAAGAATAAATCCAGATTTTCCGAAGTTACTGACATCGCTGAGCAATTTTCTCTTCCTGAGAAAGAGTTAAATTTACCTCTAATATTCAAATGTTTCAGTATTTCTGTGGAGAATCCCTGGGGGTTAATTTAGCCGTCAATCCTAGTCCTGTAACATGTAAGCAATAATATTAAAGATTTAAATTGCCTCAAGATAGGTTACCATTGTGTTAGAGTGGTAATTTTTTACATCAAAGTTCCTGGGGTGCAGTACAATATCTAACTATATTTAAATTTTTTAGTATAAATAAACAAAAGGGACCAATCTGTTTTATTCACAAAGATTTGTGTTATTTTAAAGGGACCGTTCCCTTATTTGATTAATTTCATGGTAAACTAACCAGCGTATTAGCTATTTATTGGTATTTGTATTTTCAAAGATATCTATGACTGGAGAAAAAGCTGATTTATCGTTTAGAATTCCAGCGGAAAGGTATGATGCCTTTGTACACTATTTAAAAGTTCTTTTCAGTAACTACAGCGAAAAAAAATCTAAAATGATCATATTTCAATGACATCATTTGTCAGCCATTATATAATAAAATATAAAAACTTTTGATTTTAGAATTAGCAAGAAATTAACGTTTTTCGTGTTCAACATGATATAACAAATTAACATGTTTATACAAAGACGACTTTCTCTCTCAGATAAACCAGTTCCTAGATTCCAAACTTTTCAATAAATTGAGAAAACATATCAAACGATAAAATGTTTTAAAAAAGTTAAATTTCAAAATAGACGATTTTAAAATAATTTTGAAAAAAATAAAAATATCTACAAATATTAGATACTACAATTTAATTTAATATTTGAAATTTTTTTAATTCATTACTATGACAAAAAACATCAAATAGTGTAAATGCAAAGGCATCATATATACTTTGCGCTGGAATTCTGAATGATATATCTACTTTACCTCAGGCCACAGTTATCTTTCAAAAGTAAGACTATTACCAATGAATAGCTAATAGGCTATTTAGTTAACCCTCAAAGGCTCAAATTACCCAAATAAGTGAATGGTCTTTTTAAGCCATAAATGAGTCAGGTTCTGCTGCAGGAATATGCATAAGAACATACCCCCCCTTGCTTGAACCAATTCTATGAGATCTTCTTTCGACACTACTTTGTTCAATGGATTTTAAACATGTGTAAACTGAGAAAAATTTTCTAATGCACAGTAGTAGTGATATTTCTATGGAAAATGAGTATCTGTTCCAATCACAATATCACTATTTTTTTATAGTGATGTACCGACGCAACAAAGTAATTACTGACGCATAAAGAATTTGCGTAAGCTTATCATTACATTGCATCGGCCCCGTACAATATCACGACAGTGCATCTGCATCAGAATTGTTTTACAGTGTAGTTTGATATACGTAGCATATGTATAAGTTCAGCACTCAGTGAACCCACTGAATTTTACATGTGAATGAATGCATGCCATATTATATAAGACACATTTAATGTGTTAATGTTTTCAGCTACCAGAGTTCCCTTCTCCCTCACACATTTTACAACAATAGCAACTCAGATAACACAAGCTGGTGCCAGCGGTGGAATTGCTAACGGATTCTCACTTGATTATACTCAACTTCCATGCTAGTTCTTATGTGCTAGACTGTTTTAAATTAAATTTAAATTACATTATATATTATGTAATGTTGTATTATGTTCACAAATTATTTACGATTGTTTAAGTATTTACTGTTCAAGTAATTTTGATATTTATTGTGTTCACTGTCAAGTATTCAATTTATTTTACATTCATGATGAAAATATATTTTTAATGCAAGTTGAATTTACCAAAGTGTGTTTATATGTTAAAGCAACCTCTATACCAACTAGTTTAATTTCACTTTTTCCAACCTTAAAATTGAGAACTGATTTCATATAGAATTTTTTATTTGCATGGAAATGGAATGGTGGTGTTTTAAGAAATCAAAAAATGGTTAAAGAAGGACAAAAATATGAAAAAAGTGCTATACAGAGAAAAAAAGTCGCTTCATTGCTAACAAAATGAATTGTTCAAAGAACGATTAGAATTTTGCATGTCTTGGACCTTGGTCATGGAGTTATTTTCTAAGTTCACAAAAATTTGTGAACAATTTACAATTTTGTTCGTTTGACGTTTACTAAGGATGGTTTAAAGCTCTTGATAGATTGGAAATAAGATCTTAAATTTAATTTTGATATTTTAATGTATCAATAATTTTATTTTTATTATTTAGAGCTCCGTCCCAGTGTGTGAAATACTTTACAGGCACTAAAGGTATTAAACCCCACTGTGAAGATAGAATTTTAGAGATAAGTCTGCATTGTTTTAAGTTTACTTTAACTGAATCACGCTGGAAAGTACAAGAATTAAAGCTTAATGGATATTATTATTATTATCATTTTATTTTTGGTATAAATCAAAGTGGCAGAACTATGCTGTAGAAGATTTAAATTTGACCAATGCGGCAATATTCAGATATAGTTTAAATCTATTCTCTAGATGATGCATTGCAATTTCCTATGTTAAGTAGAATTGATGGCTATAGTATCTCCAGAAGGATCAAGAATAGTAATAATTTTATGAAACTAAATTGGATCAGCACTACTTACTGTGTGTAGTGAGGGCGGAAATGCGTTTTCTTTCATGAGACTGGCACTTCTCAAATTCTTTTAAAAATCAGATTGATTTGTTTTTGATAGTAGAGCTTGATAATTGTTNGGAAGGTAAGGAAAGAAGGGGAAGGTAAGGAGGGAGGAGAGTGAAAGAAAAGAAGGGGAAGGTAAGTAAAGAAGAGGAAGGTAAGGAAAGAAGAGGAAGGTAAGGAAAGAAGGAGAAGGTAAGGAGGGGAGGAGAGGGTAAGGAGGGGGAGACGGAAAAGAGGCGAAGTTAAGGAGGGGAGGGGAAGTATGAGAAGGTAAGGAAGGGCAGGGAAGGCCGGGTTAGGAGAGAGGAGAAGGTAAGAAGGAGAGGGGGTCGCTACTCCCTAGAGAGTTATTTAGGATGGTAGTATCAAATGATGAAACTTTATATTTCTGCATAAGATAAATATAAATAGAATTAATTATCACTCACTTAAACTCTCTGGAAGTATTATTATTTACACTAGTATAGTCCAATGCCGTGCAACTAGACGTTTTTTATGGGGGGGGGGGGTAAGTTATAACGAACATTTTCTTTGCCCCCTCTCCCATAACATTTTTAAGGTGGGGGGGGGGGCAAGAAAAATGTGTATTATATATACTGAAACAATAAAAAAAACTAACGTTACCAACCGGATATTCAGTAAGTCAACACATCTGATATAAATAAAAAAAGAAATATATTCAGGTTAATATAAATCACAATATTAATTAAGGTGGGGCCACGAAACGTATTACTCTGCAGAAAATTTAAACAGTGTTTAAACATAACTTAGAACTGTCGTAGGAGGCTGATTTTTTACATGCAAACTCAGAATTATGTATATTACATGCATTTTTTGGTTTTGAAGGAATCTGAGCAAAAGTGTGTGCGCGCGCGCGCTTTTTGTGAAAAAATGCGACTGTTTTGACAGTAAATCAATGTTAACTTCATTAATTGCACTTGAACACTTTTCCTGGCACTCTTGAAACAAATATGCGCTAAAAAAATTCACCTCCAAAGGCTTAATATAATTTGTAATTATGCTGTGATTTTTGATTTATGGTGAACAAAACAAGTCCAGGTGGGAGGGGGGCAAAACAAAATAAAAAAGGTATCAATATTTTTTCAAAAAAGGGGTTTTTAAGGGGGGGCATACTGTTGCCAAGGGGGGGACCCCAAAAATTGTGCCCCCCTAAACAAAAGCCCTAGAACGCCCCTGCTTATGTCAGCTGTTCTGTTTTAAAACAATTGTGGTATTGTGGAACCACATAACGTGCAATAAATTGGTATCTAAAAATCTACACTTAATGAGATTTATACAAGTACTTAAACCTGTTTATATCTATCATTTGTGTAACCTGGCATTACAATATTTCAACTATCTCCATATGTCGAGATAGCTGGATACTGTCTGAATGCACGTACTTAAATAACACCCTAATAATAAAGTTATTCACATGTATAGGTATATTCATTGATACATTTAATCTTACATTTATAAATGTATACTTATATATATATCATATACATAATAATAATAGCTGGACATTAGCTCAAGATCCCTTGGTATGGTTAAGGTCTCCTAGCTCCGTGTCTAATTGCTATATCAGTCAGGACATTAAGCCTAGCTTGTAGAACAGCTATGGTTTGTAGTCCTTCTATTAATTCAATATCAATATCATTACAGGCACCTTGGTTGACCCGTTCCTGCATGATCCTGAGCAGGTTCCATATCTGGTTATCCAACCTGTCCCTCAACCCTCTCCTGGTCGGATTGGGGAACCTCCTGTATTCCTGCTAAATAGCTCTCCTTGTATCCCCTGTGTCGATAACAGGGACCGCAAGTGGCTGACTAAGAGTGCTGCTCCCTTGCATAGTGGAGTTGAAGGTTTGGATCTGCTCCACTATCTCGCCTAGGAAGTCATGCATATCCACCATGTCTCCTCGCTCTACCTCAGCTCTACCCGCAGCAACCTCTCCACCTGCTCCCTCATCATCTGAAGCAGGAGCTGTAATGATGGGAGCGTTTCCCCTGACTAGAGGAGCGAGGTCTGCTGGATCCACTCCATCTCCATCCTGTTCTAGTCCTCCATCAAAGGCCGGGTTCCTTACTAGGACAGGAACACGATTCATCTTCTTATATCTCATTCAATCAGGTTCTCTCTGTAAGCTATGTGTGCACTATATGTAGCACAGATCCCAGGACGACTAGGTGCAGGGAGACTTGTGTCTACTCTGCAGCGGTCCAGGATGTACTGATCCATCTGGCTTCCTGTTGGATTCAAGGGACTGTTTACTCATATATCAAACAATCTGGAACACAACAATATCCCCCTGAGGCCTGAATAGCCCGTAATGTTTGGGCTATCAGCATCATCCTTAGGGAGGCCAGGATCAGTTTAACTCTTCTAACTCAATACCTGGAGTGGGAGCAGCAGCAGCTCCCCTCCCGGTTTCGTTCAGAGTTTGGATCAGATTGTTCCGAAACTCTGTAAGCAAGAAGACGTTAAGCCTTAAGGCGGTAGCCCATGAGGTTCCCTTTCTACGGGTTACAACACTTATTAGCGTGCTGATCAGCTTTCCTATTAGGTACAGGATCACCAAACAGCTGGCATAATGGCCCCAAGTATCAAGAGCGTCCCATATATAGGATTTCCAATCTAGTACTTTAAGGGTGTTTTGAGCTAAATTGTTTAGTTCAAAGCCCAGGGTTCCAGTGGGTTGGTATTCACCGCAAGAGCCGGGTGAGGCACAATATTGGGCTGTCAAAGCATATGTGACAGCTTTGCTGCTCCGTTTGGCATGGAAGAGCTCCATATAAGCCTGTACTTCCTTGTGTGTATAAAGTAGGCTGTCAGTCTCTTCAACATGTTCCAATTCATCTACATGATACCCCAGCTGTTCAGGTTTAGACAACTGGAGTGATATAGTTTGGACCATGGGAGCAGCTTGGACTAATTGTCCACCTGTGGTTTCAAAGATGGGTGGGAACACTTCATTACAGTCTAACAGGTCAAGGGTAGGTTTCCTGGTAACCAACTTTGACGTGTCCAGATAGACTGGTTCCTCACCCAGGTATACTGGCAAATATTCCTTAGAACATTTGTCATGTCTTTGATAACCGGGACTGGAGGTGACCTCGACAGTCTGGCATTGCATCTCTTGTATAATGTCCCCCCTGTCCCTAATCAATGCATTAGGATGAATAGGACTTCTTTCTAGCTGATGGAGTGAGTTTGTCCCTAAAGTACACAAATGTTTCTGTACTTCATGTATGGAGGACTGTATCACCCTCTCCATTTGAAAATAGAGGAATTCCTCACTTGACCTTAACTCTAGGTCCAGGTCTAAGCTATCAGCATGAGTTGACATTTCCAAGAGTTTGGCACTATTTTCTAGTGAATCTTGGACTACCATCAGTTCAGGGTAATCAGTTGTGAAGTATGTTAAGTCACACTCTTCACTCCTTTGTTTATCTAATTTTCTGAGAATAATTTTATGTTCCTCATTAATCAGATAATTTTCAGATTTCCCTTTATGTGTTAACTGAACCTGGTTGACAATCAAGCTTCTAATTTTAGCTAGCTGGCAGCGGTTCGGTTTTTCCAAGACTAGATAAGTATCTATGCCCATCAAACATTTCATATTTTCAATACAACGCTTTTCTAATTCGACATTGTTTTGAAGGTCTATGATTCTGTTTGGGGAGATTTCAACGTCGATTTCCGACATTGTTATCGTTACCGTCCGGAGTTCTAACATCCGTTCATGTTGTTCGTCATTAATTGTGATTTTGGCTCCAACACAATAGACATTGAACTCGTCATAGGTAATACTGCCATGTGTAATTTCTGGGAATTGGATTTGTTGGTTCAACCCAATTCTCATAGTCTTACCATTTATTATGTACGCTTTCCGGGCGTACATATCGGAACATTCGGACTCAGAGATCGTTTCAGGCTCCAATATTGTTGGGGGGCTGAAAAATTTCTGATGTCCATATGTTCCACAGTATAATCAAAACTTGGATACTCTTTTGGAGCATTTAATCCCCTTTACAGTTTCTGTTAACAGTTTCTGAATTACTGTTATTTTTATGCCTTCAGTTTCATCCCCCTTTGGGTTTTCCGAAACCGTTATTGGCATACACCACTCCGACTTTTTGTAAGA